TTAGAACAAACGATGGTTTTTCTGGCTCCCACAACACCGAATCGTGGAAAGATTTCAGAGGTTGTCTGTATACATAAAACGTGAATATCAAAGTTCATAGTTCCCTTTCTGCAAGCAATGTTTATCTTTGCTCATGCAAATTGGAAATCAAAATATGAGTTGAGATTAGCTATTCCTTCCATAGTAATGTGTCTGATTTTCATTGTCAACGAAGGAAAAAAAAGCAAATCTCAAAATGTGTTCATTATTGCATTAAAATCAACCACTCAGTCCCCTCCCTTTCTGAGTTTTGCCGCCTGAAACAATCTGAGCCTCTTATTCAAAATTCAGATCTGTCTAATCTCAGCTCGTGTCTCCTCCCTGTGCTTGACGGCTCTCATCTTAAATTCCAACCCAAATCAAAAATCTCAGTTCAGAGTTTCATTTATCATGAGCTCACACGAGGCGGCAAAGTGACCGCCCCCCAGCAATGTCACCGCGGACTGCGTTGGGAGAAGTACAGCAGACAGAAGAGAAAAAGTGGTCCCGCCTCACTTTTACAAAAGAAAAGGCCACACCTAAAATATCAAAATATTATGCCTTTTAAAGATTTTAGGGATTCAACATAAATTACCCGTTTCTTCCATTCCTGAGTTCAGAACCGGTTGAAAAATAAGACACGGGAGACCCACAGACAGAGGTTAAGCTGCAGCTTTACTGTTGGCAAACTAATCGGAGAAAGGGAAGTCAGATTTGAGGACCAAAGAGCCCACCGCTGCCCTGTGCGCGCCAGCCCCCGCCTCGTCCCCACGCCCGAGCCCTGCTCACGCCCGGGGGTTGGAGCTGCGTCTGGAGAGGAGAAAGGGACGTTCACCGTTGTTGGCAGAGTCGTTCCACCGGCGGGTGCCCCTGTCACCTCCCAGCACCCAGGTGACTGACTCCTCTGCAGGAAGGAGCGAGGGGGTGTCGGCCGGAGGCCAGCAGTTTCCTTTCCGCGGAGGTCCTTCCACACAGGGCGCCGGGGACGGACCCTCCCTCCCCGCAGCGCTCAGCCCTACACCCTGCGTCAGATAAAACTGGGCGCGTTAAGAGCATGACCAGGACAGCGGGGACCTTCGGAACCCTGTATCCTGGCAATGGGCGCACGGGCCTGAGCACCCTCCTCCAACACGCGTGGCCGGCCCCACGGCAGAGATGCGAGTCCCACCTGCTCCCCGCACTGCCCGCGCCCTGCTCAGCTGGGCAAGGCCTGTCGGCCGGCGAAATGGGGGCAGAACTGACGTGTGTCCCCCCCGGCTGAGGCAGTGACAAGTCCCCCTTAGCGCTGGTCTCTCCCCTCCGCTGAGCGGGGAGGGCCCGTGTTCCAGACGGAGCAGCCGTGCAGGTGGGGCCTCACCAACCCGGGACCCACCGCTGCGGCACCGCCACGCACACACACGCTCACAGCCCACACCGCCTCGCACACGCACCCTCACAGTCTACACCGCCACGCACACGCACATGCACGGCCCACACCGCCTCGCACACGCACCCGCACGGCCCACATCGCCATGCACACGCACCCTCACAGTCCACACCGCCACGCACACACACCCGCACGGCCCACACCGCCACGCACACACACCCGCACGTTTTAGGTCTGGGCTCGTGAGCAGCACGACGCCACCCCGACCCCACACGCAGACTAGCTCAGGTCGTCTGTCATTCTTTTCCCGGTGCCCCGTCCCTCCCCGTCGTCTTGCCAGCACGATGAGGTGTTAATTTGCGTGTGATTTATGTGAAGTCTGTGTCCACGTCTGACCCACAGGACCCACGGGATCAGAGTCTCTGTCACCCACAGTGGCACTTGCATGCAGAAGTCACTCAATAACCGTCGCGACGTGGAGGAGGCGCAGACGAGAGGGCCCATGATGGGGACGCTTGTTTTCGTCGCGAGACCACAGCTCTAGACCAAAACCACAGAGAACGGAAACCCACACCCGGGGGTGTTTTTAACTTTATTTGTTCAGAACATGATTCTGGGCTGCTCGGCGACCAGGAGAGGACCCTGAACCTCTAAGGCGGTTAACAGACCCAATGACAGGACAGCGCCGCCCCAGTGTGTCAGACGAGCACGAAGCCTGTCTTTATTCTTCTCGTAAAGCCTCTCGGCAAACACATACACATCTCCCCATCGAAAGTGCATTAACAAGATCATGCGTGTGTAGCTGGTCGGCACGAGGGAAAATGACAATTTACACGTGAACTACTTAAGTCTCGCGGTAGAGCGCTCACAACTCCGGGCCGTATCTGTCGACTTTTCAATGGCATTATTTACGTGACATCATCACCAATTACATTAAAAGAACTTCACTAATTTTTTAAAGCTAGAATTACTCAAAAAGTTCTGTTATTGCAAATAACACCTAGAATATTGCATTTAGTCCTAAAATTGCAAGATTACTTAACTCTTTCCACAGTCCTTTGTGTAACTGATGCAGGAAAATTAATGCTATATAAGAGAATGAAATAGATCAAGTTCCTATGTTTTCACCTAAGACTCTATTTAAGTAACGACTGATATTTAAGTGATCAAAAAATAAGCCAACGTTAAATATTAACTGCACAGGATCTAAAACAAAATGGCCACATTACATCAAACTACATTATATAGATAGATTAAAAGCAGCTAATTAGAAGCGTTTTTAGAAATTCAAAGTTTCCGACATCATTTTCCACCATTCCATCAACTCTTCCTTCTCCTCTTCTTTCCTTTCAGAAAACGACTCCAGTTCAAAATCAACCTGAAGGAGAAAGTCAAGAACAAACATACTGTTATCAAACCCCATTTTTTTTAAATTTCAGTTTTTAAAAATACAGAGAAACAGCAGTTTCAGAGCTTATAGAATAAGCTCAATCCAGCCACTTGAATTAAGGTAGATTCTAAAAAATCTCTTGCGATAAACAAAAAATACTTTCAGGAGGATAAAAAAAATCAAAAGCCATCGTGTTTAAGACATGCTTTGAGGACATAAATCAACAAAATCCCTGCCCCGATCTCTCCCCTCACAGAAAGTGGTAACTTGCAGTTTTCTGCCTTTGACCACTTTGTGAGCTCCCAGCAGCCCTGAATTCTGTCCTGGAGGCAGGAAGTGTGGACGCACAGGGTCAGGCGCTGCGTCCCAGACCACGGCTCTGCTGCGCAGAATCTCGAATGTGCAGAAGGAGCTGCGGGCAGCACCTGTCTCTCAAGCCGCCGTCCTGCGGGCGGGGGTCTCGGCCGGGTCTGTGCCGGACCCGCGCTCTGCACAAAGCACCGCTCACATCCGCACCCCTTCCCCCAGGCTCGTCCCAGAGGGAACCGGCTTCCTCGGCTCAGCTGTTTGAGGCCCTGGTTATTTGGGATCATGATACACTCAGCACGTCCTCCTCGGACCAACACGCGCTAGAAAGAGGCGGCATCACAGCGGGGGCTGCTTGTTCAGGGTTCTCTCCGCCCACCGGGCACCCTGATTCCGGGACACGCACAGCCCGCTGTGCACACGCTCACCATCCAAACCACAGCACCAAACGCCAAGATATTTTGTTTGCAGAAGCCAAGCATTTATTCTCTAAACTTTGGGCGCATAAACGAAATACAATAAATTCTTCTCGAGTAAGCCTTTTGATTAGAAATCCTATCGGCCTTCCCGTGGTCCCAGGAACGTAACACAAAGCGGGCGGTAAATTCCGCTCTAAGAGAAGTTTTGTTCTCATCACCGTCACCTTCCTAGCAAAATAAATGTGATCTGCTTAAATAAGATTTGTGTTTTGATAGGACTTAACATAGATTTACTTATAATATGTGCTTTAATAAATGTTTGGTTCATGCCTAAAATTATCTGGTATGCATCGTTTATTTATTTCAAATGCTTATTGAGTAAGGCATGGTGCTAGGTGCTAGAAATGGAAAAGATACATGGAACAGAATCCCAGCTAGATTGAAATTGAGGTATCAAGGTCAGCAAATAAAAATTTAATTTTTTTGGCCGGGAGTGGTGGCTCACACCTGTAATCCTAGCACCCTGTGAGGCTGAGGCGGGCGGATTGTTTGAGCTCAGGAGTTTGAGACCAGCCTAAGCAAGAGCGAGACCCCGTCTCTACTAAAAATAGAAAGAAATTAGCCAAACAACTAAAAACAGAAAAAATTAGCCGGGCACGGTGGCGCATGCCTGTAGTCCCAGCTACCCAGGAGGCTGAGGCAGGAAGATCGCTTGAGCCCAGGAGTTTGAGGTTGCTATGAGCTAGGCTGACGCTACAGCACTCTAGCCCAGGCAAGAGTGAGACTCTGTCTCAAAAAACAACAACAAAAAAATTTAATTGTTTAAAGTTTTATTTTCTTGTGGATCTCTTCAAAGCTGAGAAATGGTAACAGCTTCACAATGAGTGGTATTAAATCATCCAATGAGACTTTGGGCGAGTCAGTTAACTCTGTTAGGCCTCAGTTTTCTCATCTGTTAAATGGGGATGACAACAGTACCTATCTCACAGGGTTATTGTGAAGAGTAAATATGAGTCACTCAAACATGCCCGGCATGAGTATCACAGGGCTTAGCTATCACAGATTACTTACCGAAACCGCGGGGCTGTAAGGAACTGCCACTTTCTTCGTTATCGCCAGGTAGCCTGGGGCGGAGGCCGTGACCTTGTAATTCCCAGGAACAAGCAGTCTCCAGTAGTCGCCGTCCTTTGCTGTAGGAAACGGAGCGTCAGACCACAAGGCGCGCACACGAAATGCATAATTGTGCCTCCAAGGAATGCCACAGTAGCGCACTTGGACTTCTTCGATCCCCCATTTTCAAAGTAGACATATAGGAAATTCAATGAACTTCTACTCAGTAGGCTGTGACTCTTCCACAGGCCCCATTTCTCACAGCTGCTTTGCAGATAATAAGGTTAAGTTGTCTGATAAACCTCCTAAGATCACGGATCTCCTGACCGGTCGGAAGCAGCAGGTAAGAAGACGGATATCCCCGAGCAGCAGGTCAGAGCACCCGGCACCGCGGCCTGAGCCTCAGACGGTGAAGACCCGGTCGTCGGCCCGGGGCGGCCTCACCGGAATCCCTGAGCCCTGGTTAGAAGTTCAGATTTCACACTGCTAAGTCCCTGACACGGCTGCTCTCTCTTGACCCTTTTTCCATTTCTCCCTCTTGACACATTTCAAGGCCTCGCTTCCCTCCCACCTCCCGCTTCGTTCCAGCTTCTCATCCACGCTGCCCTCGGAAACCTAGAGTGTCCCGGGGCCCGCCCCTCAGATTGCATTTCTTTCTCCCCGTTTGTTCCCTAGCTCAGATTTTCCTAAACTTGTCGCATCGTGGAATGCACAGAAAATGACATTTGTGCGGCACGCCGTGGCCTCCCGAGGGCGAGGGGCGGCGTCGTGGATATCGGTTGGGAAGGCATCTAGTGGGCTGTCGACAAATATTTGTTAAATGAACGAATAAATAGAGTTTTAGAGGACAAATGGTAAAAATTTAGAAAAAAAAAAATCCAAGCTACAAATATGAAGGTTAAGCAAGAGGAAACGTCCAACACAGTGTGATTTGGGAACTAAGTTAAAAGTTAATTCACTATGAGGCCAAGAAATGACATAAAGAGTTTATAGCTTGAAAACGTCGTTGTTGTTACTGAAAACATCCTAACAAACGACAAACTAAAATAAGCTGGACTGATGTTTATTAACAGGAGGAGGTAGACTCGTCAGGAAAATGCATCGTTTCCCCAAACTGGGAGACGGTCACGGGCTCTCAACCTAGAGATACCTAACATCTCACCTCCACCCCTAACACCCCGTCTGACCTTGTGTAACTGGGTTCCCAGCCGGTTAAATGGAGAAAGGTGAGTGGATGGGAGTTCCAATCTTCTTCCCCACCCCCGCCAATTCGCGGCGCGTCAGCGCCTCTTAACAGACACGGGAAAGCCACCCGTGTTTTAACTCCAGCAAACTCGTTTTCCTTTGCCCAAGAACTGCAGTGAGTCCCCGGGTGAGGCAGCCAAGCCGAGGCCGTCTGCCGCCCTCCCGGCCCTAAACACGGCACCAGCCCGGCCCACCAGTGAGACGCTACGGCCCTGTGCTGTTGATCCTGTCGTGCGTAAGGCCAGGGCCCCCGGAACGTGGCCGACACACCCACCGGATGTCACGTCGTGGTCTATTCCTTCCACGGAGATGGTCGCGTTGGCGATGGGGTTCCCCTGAAGGTCGCGGACAAACCCTTTCACTCCGCGGTGTATCTGTGAAGGCCAAGGAAAAACAAAATTCATACGAGAAATGACCCACGGCTGTTTGCGTCTCAAGCATCTGCTTCTTTTCCAGCAAAATACTGCAGCTTCTCCTGTGTAAGAATCAAAACGAGCTCAAAAGGCCACTGGATTTTTTGTGCACTTTTTACTCTGCTTTTCCTTAAAGAGAGAAATGAGCAGTCACCTCCTGAAAACGAGTATCTTGTCCTGAGTCAAAGAAAAACTTCGAAGTCCCTCCCATGCCATAAAAATCGGTCTGTTTGTAAAGTGCTAGTCTTAGCACGTTCCGGCACTTCCTCTTCTTCTAAATTTGGTCACCCACTGTCCCTCACGTGGGCACTGCCAGTCAGCAAGAAGCTTACATTACAGCTCTTAAATATTAGCTCCTCCAGGTAAAGAAGAGATACACTGTGACCACTTTGGGATTAAACTCACTGACAACACTATTTTGGCTGGAAATAAGTGGCAAGAACCAGACACTGATTTAGAGAGAAACGGAAGAGACGATTGCATCATCGACTAGCTACTACGAGGCTAACTACAAAAGACAGCTTTCTCTTTGTTTTGAAAACATAATTCCTCTAGTGGTTGAAGTGACTCTGAGTCACTTCAGGTCTTTAAAAAAGAACTGCTTTGGCCGGGCGCGGTGGCTCACGCCTGTAATCCTAGCTCTCTGGGAGGCCGAGGCGGGCGGATTGTTTGAGCTCAGGAGTTCGAGACCAGCCTGAGCAAGGGCGAGACCCCGTCTCTACTAAAAATAGAAAGAAATTAGCTGTACGACTAAAAATATATATAGAAAAAATCAGCCAGGTGTGGTGACGAGCACATGTAGTCCCAGCTACTCAGGAGGCTGAGGCAGGAGGATCGCTTGAGCCCAGGAGTGTGAGGTTGCTGTGAGCTAGGCTGACGCCACGGCACTCACTCTAGCCGGGGCAAAAGAGTGAGACTCTGTCTCAAAAAAAAAAGAGAGAGAGGAAAAAAAAGGAAAGAAAGAACTGCTTCTGGAATATCCAATGGGAACTAATGAACCTTGATTATTTACAAAGTGTGCCCCGATCTCCCAAATGCTCAGGTCGCACCTCACCCAATCCGGCTCTCAGAATGAATTTTCTTTGGATACTGATGATATTTGACTATTTCTGTACAGAGGTAGAATCTGTCTCCTGTATCCCTTTGTCACCAGAGAATAAACAGGCGGTAAAATGTTTCATCAAAGAGATCCCCTCCTTACCGGCAATGTTTTTTGCATTTGCCATTTTTTAAAAAAACGAAACCTCTAAAACCCTATAAAAATTTCATGTAATTTTTTTCTCTAAAGGCAATTTACAAATGGTAAAAGGCTATACGTGTAGTCAATAATAATGAATTTATTGCAACTAGTATAGTGAAAAGAGAGTAAGTGCTTTTTTTTTTTAAGAATTTATGACCTAGTGAATCTCTAACTTTTCTCCAAGACTTATTTATGAATTAGCCAACCAAAATTGAAAGAGTTTGAAATTTAGCCCCTGGAAAACATGGAACACGAAACATCAGCTTTCGCATGAAAAGGGGAGAGTCGTTCCTGGTGAGAATTGTGGAGGGGGCATAGCTGCACACAGAGAGGGCAGAAAACCAAAGAAAACACACAGCCTTTAAATCCCTTAACATGAGGGCTGATCAGTAACACTTAGAAAGATCCCAGCTGGCAGCAGAGAAATCATTTACCCACAAGTACTTTACTCATCTCGAATACTATAATCTCAATATTATCAATATTATCAGCCTTAGAGGAAGCTTTACATGTCCTCGTCGTTGGAAAATAAGTCAGCCAGGACAAAAGCATACCTTCGCCTGCATTAGACACAAAAACACTCGGTTAACATTCACGGCTTCACTTTTTTCTGCCTCCGCAACCCAAGTGTTATGGGATGTCACAGCTCCGCACGAATTCAGACTGGAAAGCGCTGTCATTTTATGGCTTTTGCAAAGGAAATCGCAGAAGCTAAGGAGCGAGTTTTTGTGTGAGAGAACAGGTTTACCGGCGCCAGGAAGCTAAGGAGCGAGGTTTTGTGCAGAGAACAGGTTTACCTGCACCAGGTAGCTAAGGAGTGAGTGTTTGTGCAGAGAACGGGTTTACCTGCGCCAGGTAGCTAATCAGCGAGTGTGCGGAGAATGGGTTTACCAGCGCCAGGTAGCTAATCAGCGAGTGTGCGGAGAACAGGTTTACCTGCGCCAGGTAGCTAATCAGCGAGTGTTTGTGCAGAGAACGGGTTTACCTGCGCCAGGTAGCTAATCAGCGAGTCTCTGTTATCCTCCCAGAAGCTCTTCAGCGTCTCTTCAGGCGGGAACTTCTCGCAGCTGAGCTCCACGGTGATCTCGAAACAGTTGCTGCTGAGGTAGTTGAAGTCCTGCATGCCTGTAAGGCACAGGGAAAGTGGACACGCGCAGGTGAGCACGGACGCTCCGCGCAGCCCACTCCGCGGCACGGAGAGCAGGTTGAAGACACACCATCCAGGGCCCTGGGAGCTCCAGGGACGTCTCCTGCTCTGAGAAACTGGACAGACACTCGGGGGAGTCTCATGACCCGAAGGGCACACGCCGTCTCGGGCGCTTAAGCGCTGGTTTGCTGACCACGCTGCTGCGGCAGGGGCTAAAGCGGACGCCACCCACGTCCCACATTCCTGGGATGAGCTTCAAAGAAGACAACGGGATAAAAGACTCAATCCCTCCTGACCTGCTAAAGAAACGCACACGCCTCTGAGCCCGCCTCTCCATCACGGGACAGCGTGGCTCACCATGTGCGATGATCTGACCTACCATGTTGTTCCTTACGTCCAACTAACGCTGCAGCGTGTTCCTGAGGGATCAGGAGTCTTGGTAATACATGTTGGCCGGGCACTGTGCTCATGCCTGTAATCCCAGAACTTTGGGAGACCAAAGTCGGGGAATCGCTTGAGCCCAGGAGTTCGAAACCAGCTTGGGCAACATAGTGAGACCCCATCTCTACAAAAAATTTTAAAAAGGTAGCCAGATGTGGTGGCTCATACCTGTAGTCCCAGCTGAGGTGGGAGGACAGCCTGAGCCAGGAGCTCAAGGCTGCAGTGAGCTGTGATTGCACCACCGCACCCCAGCCTGGGCAACAGAGCAAGACCCCATCTCTAAAACAAAAAAAAAAAATCCTATATGTGTGTGTGTGTGTGTACACAATATATGTTAATTCAACAATCACTGAGCATCTACTGCATGTAAAACATAATTATAACCCCTCAAAGTGCACCAAAGAGAAGATTCTGCATCCAGAACAATTTTAATGTGAATCTGACTGGAATTAGCGGTGGATGCTGTGGGTGCTTTTCAGAGCTGGGCACCCCGCTCCTGGCAGGCGCCAGGGAGACGGCCCCGCCTGTGCTCACACTCGGGCCAAGGCTCGACCTTCCCCGCGAGACCACGTCCCCGCTCAGCTCTGACCCCTCCTCACCCTGCCTCCCTCACTCCCTGCAGGTTCCCCAAGAGCCTCTCCGTGAAGGACAAGCATCCGAACCCCCGCCTCAAGCTCTGCTGGTGGAAAACCTGGCCCGAGACACCGATTTTATCCACTGCATAGAGGGCTAAAGACCATCAGAGCTTTTTTGACTGTCCAGCTATTGTGGGACATAGTCATTGGCAAGGTTAATCCTGCTACTATTGTTAATATTGTCATCAGTGTTTCAGTGATGTAGGTTGTTTGCTACTCTGTAGACACCACACCATTTGTCCAAAGGAATTGCTATAGTTTTTATAAAATCTAAAGTATAAAATTACTTCCCAGCTGGGACACACTCTAAGTCCTAAATCCGACATAGACCATATTTTTCAAGCTATAAGGGAGAAAGCACTGAATCTGATCTGGTTGAAATGCAAACTACAAATAAAAACAGAATTAACAGACACCAGGAAGAAATAATTAGCAAGAATATTTTTCTCAGGGCATAATTCAACGAAATTAAGAATATCCAACAGAACAAACTCATTATCTAATGCCGCTACTTCCCTAATTCTCTTTTTATTTCCAGGCTAGCCACGGGAAATTGTTCTTAGGCAAAGAGAAAAGAAAATATAAACGAATATTTAATCTATTTTTATAATTAATATAAAATGTGCTATATTTTTACAACACATTGCAAGTAAACGTACATCATATTTCCGTCTTCGTCCTTGGGTAACTACAAAAACAAGGGTCTGCACAGTCCGTGTGGGCACAAGGAGGCCGGGAGCGGCTGGGCTGCCCAGGAAGGGGCTCCCGCAGCTCTGTCCAGGTGGGGGCTGCTCCCTTTTCCTCCACAAAGGCGAAAAGCTACCTGGTCCAATAGCTGCCACGACCGTGGTGCTGCGGTCCCGAGCCCCGGGCCACGGTGCCTGTCCCCGGGCTGTCAGGAACCGGGCCACACGGCGGGAGGCGAGCGGTGGGTGAAGCTTCACCGTATTCACAGCCGCCCCTGTCGCTCCGTCACCGCCTGAGCTCCGCCTCCTGCCAGATCCGCTGCGCTGGAGTCTCACAGGAGCACGAAGCCCGCTGTAAACTGCGCACGGAGGGATCCAGATCACGGCTCCTCAGGGGAGTCCGATGCCTGAGGATCTGGGCTGGAGCTGAGGCGGTGACGCCGGCGCCGGGGAGCGGCTGCGAATACAGACCATCGTCAGCAGCAGGGAGGTCTGATGCACGGTAAACGTGACGCGCTTGAGTCGTCCCGAAACCATCCCCCGGCACCCCCGTCCGGGGAAGAACTGTCTTCCACGAAACCGGTCCCTGGTGCCACAAGGGTCGGGGACCGCGCCGTAGTGAACATAGACTAAATATTCCACGTCGACTAGTCCCTGTTTTCCCGCCATTTAAAAGAGTGAGATGAAGGGTGCGTGGAGATGCGCCACAGGTCCGAGCACGCGGCCACCTCGGCAGACGCCGGGCCAGCGCGCAGCGAGGACGCTCTCCTGTCTCCCGGGCCTGACTCTGAAAGGTAGGGTCGCGAATAACATTCCATTTACGTTTTCCCAGTGAACACCTTGGGTGCGTCTCCTGTGTCTCTTCAATTAGCATCTCAGCCACAAACACAACAGAAACAAAATTGTGCATAGCGACCCTTCACGCAAAAAATCAACCTCGGTGGACGAACTCCAGGTTCAGTCCACTCAGCGGCCGAGGGGACCGAAGGCTCTGAACCTAGTCACTCCCCAGATCTACGCGGCCGTTGGCGAGAAGCCACCGTCGCTCGGTCGGAGAGCAGGGGGACACTCACCGCCGGGCACACTGTACCAAGCGCCCCCGTTGGTGGTTCCGTCCACGAAGCTGCTGTCGTCGTCGTTCTTGCGACAGGGCGGCCGGCTGGGGTCGGACATGACCGGGTTGAAGGCCGAGTACGCCCGGGCCAGGCTTTGGAAGACGGCGTCGTCGGGACAGGAGCTGTACTCGTGGGCGCTACCTGGAAAGCAAAGCCACAAGACTCGGGAGCCGGCACAGGCCACGTTTCTGAGGAGTGACGCGGCGCCAAGCCCCTGCGGACGCGGGTTTTAGCTGCGTCACCGTGGGAAAGCTTTAAGTACGGAACAGCGACACTCGGCTTTTAGCTCAGATACCTTCCATTTCTGCACCACAGAGCAG